TTATTATTATTATTATTATTATTATTATTATTATTATTATTATTAACTAAATAGTAAATAGTCTATAATAATAAATATATCTAGTATTTAAATAGAAACGGGTCTATATTACTTAAATAATTCATAATAATATAAAATATTATAATAATAATAATAATAATAATAATAATAATAATAATAATAGAAAAAATAAAATATATATATAACTAGAGTTTATTATTTATTTTATATTTTTTTTATTTTCCTATGAATAATTTTTAATAAAAAATAAAATGATTTTAATAAAAAATTAAATAATAATAATAAAAAATAAAAAATAAAAAAATTAAAGAAGCTCGAGCTCGCCAAAATTGGCTCGAGCTCGAGCTCGAGCCAAAAATAATTGACTCGATGAGCTCGAGCTCGAGCTCGAGCTCGGCAACATGGACTCGAGCTCGAGCTCGAGCTGGCCAAAAGAGCCGAGCTCGGCTCGAGCTTGGCTTGTTCCCACCCCTAAACTCGCCCACTCGGAATCGCAATAGGCAAACAACTGAAGATTACTATTCGCGCGGAGCATGATGCCTAGACCAGGCCGACCTTTCAAATATCGAACAACACGAAGCGCAGCCTCCCAGTGACGAGTTCGGGGAGATTGCATGAATTGAGCCAAAATATGTACCGAATAACACAACTCCGGTCGAGTAATAGTTAAGTAAATCAATCGACCAACCAGTCGCCGATACGCCTCGGGGTCATGCACAAATTCACTATTATCGAGAGCAAGGCCATGGTTTTGCTCTAACGGGATATTGGCAGGCTTTGCACCGAGCAACCCGGCCTCGCAAATAATATCCAATGCATATTTGCGTTGAGACAAAAAAATACCTTCTTTGCCGCGAGCCACTTCGAGACCTAAAAAATATTTCAGTCGCCCAAGATCCTTCATATGGAAACACCGATTGAGATAACTCTTGAAACGATCTATAGACTCCCGATTATCCCCTGCTATAATTAAATCATCCACATATACAAGTATGACCAAGAATACCCCATCACGTCGCATTGTGAATAAAGAATAATCCGAATAAGATTGGGAAAATCCATAAGACAACAATGCGCTAGATAATTTTGCGAACCAATTTCTTGGTGCCTGGCGTAAACCATATAACGATTTGCGCAAACGGCATACCTTATGAGGAGAAGAACTGAGAAAGCCAGGTGGCGGTCGCATGTATACTTCCTCAGCCAAGTCACCATGGAGAAAAGCATTTCGAACGTCCATTTGATGGAGTTCCCAGTCATGTATAGCTGCCAAAGCTAATAATACCCGAACGGTTCCCATCTTGGCTACCGGTGCAAAGGTTTCATGATAATCAATCCCTTCCTTCTGCCTGTTCCCTAAAATCACCAGGCGAGCTTTGTAGCGTTCAACCGTGCCATCGGAATTATATTTTATCTTATACACCCATTTGCAACCAATGGGTTTCTTACCCTGTGGCAAAGTCACAACAGACCAAGTTCCATTGTCTTCAAGAGCTTGAATCTCTTCTTTCATAGCCTGACGCCATTTTTCATCTTTCACTGCCTCGGAAAAATGTGTTGGCTCGACACCTGCACTCACGGCTGCAAGAAATTTTATGTGTTGCACAGTGAACTTATCACAACAAGCATAATTAGCTATAGGATACGGAGTACCTGAGGAACTGTGAATAGGCGGTGGCACCGAGACGGGATCAAGAAGACGTGTGGTGTGACAAATGTAATCTGTTAAGTGACTGGGTGCTTTGCGAGTACGAGTAGGACGTGTTCCCTGGGTTGTTGATGCTGCATCACCCTCGTCATTCGAAGTAGGGCGTGTTTCCTGGGTTGTTGTTGATGCATTACCCTCGTCGCTTGAACTCCCCCTGCCAACAGTGTCATCAATTTTCTCCCTATCATCTGATGGCTCAGATGTAGATATCAAAGTAGAGTCGAAAAATTCCGGACTACCCAATTCCTCATTTTGCAACTCAATTTCCTTATCATCAGAATTATTCGTTGTACTTGCAAAAGGAAATTCATTTTCGCTAAAAACAACATCCCTAGAGACGAACAACTCCTTAGTCTCCAAATCGAACAAACGCCAACCCTTCTTCCCATAAGGATATCCCATGAAAATGCATTTCCGACTGCGAGAAGCAAATTTATCGGAGTCTCGCTTTCTAGCGAAACACAAACAACCAAAAGTCCGAAATAAATCATAAGAAGGAGGACGCCCAAAAATTAATTCATATGGAGTCTTACCACCCAAAGCAGAAGATGGAACACGATTAATCAAAAATCCGGCAGTTAAGATGCACTCCCCCCAAAATCGAATAGGAAGTTTAGCTTGAAACCTTAAGGCACGAGCTACATTGAGTATGTGCCGATGCTTTCGTTCAACACGGCCATTCTGTTGCGGTGTACCAACACAAGACGTTTGGTGTAAAATACCATTGGTTTCAAAATATTCTTTTAGACATGTAAACTCTGTTCCATTATCACTTCTCACTGTTTTAACGACTTTGCCAAATTGTCGATTCACCATAGCACAAAAATTTTGCAAAATAGCAGAGACTTCTCGTTTCTCAATTAACAAATAAATCCAAACAGACCGAGAAAAATCATCAACAATGGTCAAAAAATATACTGCTCCACAAGTAGAAGGAGTACGATAAGGCCCCCACAAGTCACAATGAATCAATGAAAATAACTCAGTAGCTTTATTATCACTTAAAGGAAAAACATCTCTTGTTTGTTTGGCACGAAGACAAATTTCACAATGCTTAAATATTCCACTATTGGTGTCAAAAGTAAAATTGGGAGAAGACCCGACTAGACGAAATGAGGGATGCCCGAGACGTTTATGCCAAAGCTCCTCGTTATCTTTGCAGCCAATCTTGTGAGCCCGTACCTTTGTCACACCACGCAATACGTAGATCCCGTCACGATAGTCACCCACTCCAATCACCGTCCTCATAGTGCAATCCTGTATTACACACAATTTTTTAGTAAGAGTGATTACAGAATTTGTCTCATTTAGAAACTGTCCAACAGATAGCAAGTTGCAGTTTAAGTTAGGAACAAATAACACATTATTCAATTTAATTTGTTCTCCAATAACCGCTGTCCCTTCTTTTGTTGCCACTATTTCTGCGCCATTGGGAAGTCCAACAGGACAGTTATGGACATCATGTGATTTAGTGAGAAGTTCATCACAGCCGGTCATATGATGTGATGCGCCGGAATCGATAATCCATTGATCGCAAATCTTACCGGTTTGTTTGTCTGTGAACGTCAATTTCTGGTCATTGAGTAAATTCCTCAAAGTGGCCCATTGTTCACTTGTCAAGATAGACAAGTCGGCTTTATCTGCATCAGTCAATGAAGAAGTAGAACCTTTGGCGAGTGTCGTTTGCGCTGCATGTGCACGAGCAATCCCACGACCGCGGCCTCTCCCTTTGACCGAGCCTTTACTACCTCCACGCCCCAACCCTTTCGGACGATCTCCCCACCAGTCCGGATACCCGACGACTTGGAAGCAACGAGTTTCTTCATGTCCCGCTCGACCACAGTGGTTGCACAGTTCTGATTTGTCTCGCGTAACATTTGGGCCAGCCCGAACTTTGCTTTGAGCGAGGTAGGCGACTACATCACTCCTATCATCTTTATTTCGAGCAACTGTACGGTGTTGCTCTTCGGTCATAATCATTGCATAAACCCGATTCAAGTTTGGCAGTGGATCTAAATTCAAGATGGTAGAACGCACTGTTCCAAACATGGAATCCTCAAGTCCCATCAAAAATTGATGGACTTGTTC